TTAACGAAAAACTGAAAACATGACTTTTTTGACAAATTCAATTCACTTTTTTTCCAAATTCTAAAGCTTATAGCAGGCGACTCGATGACAATACAAAGATGTATGTAGGCTTATTGGAAAGGTGAGATATTCAGCTTTCATAAGAGTGGTCGATGATGTAATTATCTCCAGGGGTTGTTGAGAAATTCACGAAAAACTGAAAAAAAATTGAAAAAAACGTCGTTTCTCTGTTACGTAACAAACATTACGTAACTTTTGTTACATAAAAAGTTGCGCAACGATTGCGTGCATCTGATTATGCAACAAAATCATAAAAATGTTTTTTACTTTTCGAGTTATTAACTCAAATCTATTTTTTTGCTATTTTTTACGTTACGTTTCGTTACGATTGATATAATTACAAAACCCATTCGTGTTTTTTTGACGTGCGTTTTCCTGAAAATGTAAAATGAAAGGAAATGAACAAAGGAAAAGATAAATCGAATTTGTTTTCTTTAATATTTTATTGGAAATTTTTCTAAAAAAAATAAATAAAACACGACATTTTCGCAGTTCGATTCCTCGAAAGTCGATCAACAAGTATCAATATAATATATATATGTTCTTTTCTCCTTCTTCTTCTATATATTCATTTATTTACAATTAAATATCACGTAGCTCTTGCTCTCATCTACAGGTTTGTTTGTTTCTTCTTTAATGCAGCAGCAGCAGCAGTAGCAACAATAATAAATAAAATCTGATAAATTTTCAAACGGTGTTGGTTTCTTTTTTTTTTAATATAAACTATATATTTACAAATAGACTTAACATAAGATTACAATAAATAAGTTAACTTAACTAGAGATAGGTTTCAGAGTAAAATTAATAAATTTGTTGTTGTTGTTGAGGGGGCTGGGGGTTGTTGATTGGCGTAAAAACAAAAACGAAAATGTGCATGTGAAAAATGAAATAAACTGAATACTTGTTCGCTTTCTTTTACACTCTTAAGTAAGCATTATTATAGTGACTTACGTTTAAAACTTTTGAAGATTTCTATGAGGAAAAAATCAAAAAACAAAAGAAAAAAAAACGGTGGGAAAAAGAACTAATTGACAAACTAATTAACAGACGACAAGACGACTTGATCGAATCCCACCATTTCGTTGTGTCGATTAACAATATATGATATATTTGTATACAGCAAAAAAAAAAAAGTTATAATTAATACTTAAAACAACAACAGAAAAGAAAGGAGAACTAAAAATGATTGTTAACATTTAGAGCGATAGTAATAATGAAGCAATTCAAGGATTCACAAATTGTTACAGAAAAAAGAAAAAAAATTATATATAGTGATCGGGGCTTATGACTTATGTACATGTTCTGAATATTATTATTATTAAACTGATTACAATTATAAGTAAAGTTCTTCTCCAGGGTTGAGGTTACATCACTCGTTCGTGGACTTTTCAACTGGGTTTCATTTGTTTTTTATGTGACATTTGAGTTGGTCGAGCAGTGAGTGTCAGTTTTCTGAATTGTCTTTGTCTTTATATATATATATATAATATAAATATATACGAAAGCTCTATCTCTCTGTCCCAATCTCTCGAAACACATCATCATCATCTGTTGCAGACACGATTCATCCACTTGTGCATATAACTTGAGGGCGAATGGCATGTCCCATCGGCTGCACATACACACACATATGTACAATATGCATTGTTTTGTTTGTTTTTTTTTCTCGTTTGTTCTACATATTCGTTTGTTTGTTTGTTGTTTTTTTTTTGTGTCATTCTTAAAACAATATCAAGAGTTTGTTTTTTGCTTGTTGCTCCGAGAAGGGGTTTACACCTAGATTTTTGGCAAACATACAACACATTCGTTAAACATCTGATGCACATGGATCTCTCCTAATAATTAAGTTATAGATCAAATCAATAGAACTATCAAATTAAATAAATAAATAAAGAAAAACAATAACAACATTAGATAAAAGTATAAAATAAATAAATAAAAATATATATAGATGTGATTCGGTTTCGTTTCTTCTCGCAAAAATTAAATAAAATAATAGAAACAAGTTGCAAACAGATGAGATGAAACGAAACCGAACGATGTGTAAAACCGGTTACATACATAAAATAAATTAATTTAAAAAAAAAAATATAGAAACGATAGATGTCGTTATATGTATATATATATAAAAACAGGGCGTGATTGCAGAAATTACGCAACGTTCGGGCGGCGGCGAATGCTCGGTTGCCGACGTCGCGCAGTTTTTGCATTATAATAGTGTTTACAACAACAATATTCGCTGGGCAAAAATATATGTATATGGGGGGGAAATCATAAGAATTCAAATTATAAAAATATGATATCACAGCTGTATAGATTAGTTTTTGGTGAATTTTCTTTCTTTCATTCATTTTTTGGTTACTTTTCAAGGCATTTTCGTTCGTTACATGACTAGCGCATAAGTACACATTTTCCAGAACCACAACTAAGTATAAATGTGCTACAAATCGTAAGTTTCGTTGCGGAGGGCGGCTAATATATATATAGATAGTATTCGTGGTTATGGGGGAACAATCTGCGTGTGGTTGTTATTAATTAAATGTTTGAAGTAATTAAGTACTGACTAAATGTAAATATAGGTATTAAGTAAGATAGATAACGGCATGCAGCTAATAATAGGTAAATCAAATCAAATGTAAAATACTGACATTCACACCCGAATTCGCATCATTCGCTCCGCCATAAAATGAATCACATTAAATAGTTTTTTGCAAATAACAAATACTGAATACGCATATATAAAAAATTATCACAGTTAAACACGGCACTTTGTACAATTCGGGTCGGGTTAAGAATTGGGTAGGAGGGCGTGTCAGGAGAGGCGTGTGAGGAGTGCTAGTGTTTCAATAGTTTCACCGTGAAATCGAATCAGGCACACATCATCATTAATCTCAAAATATTTACCAAATCATTCCTGAACAATACCTGCTCTAAGATCCTACTGGATTTCTTTTTCTTCTTCTTCGGTGGCGACGGCTCGGCCGAATCACTCGCGTCGCCGCCCGAGCTCACGCCCAGTCGCATATGGATGGGCAGCTTGTCTGAGCGGACGAGGAAAAAGAAAAGAAATTAGTATCATCATGAGAGAGAGAGAGATTGACGTGAAACGGGGTTTACGATTCGCCGGATTTAAGGAATTGTCAATACCTTGGACGATCAGGACTCGCCTGGAGGCGCGCTGGATAAGCGATTCAGGTGCAGCAGCAGCTGATGATGATCGTTCTAGGATGCGGGATATTGATATTGAATGAGCGGTGGTGATGTTGGAGGAGAAGGATCATGTTCAGTGAATGTACGTGAAGTGGGTACCTTTGGTTGCTGGCGCAGTTGCCTGAGAAGACGAGACCTTCTCGTTCTCTTTCCGCCTCGACTTCTTGGCCTTCTTGTAGACGGCGCCCTGCAACGCGTTCTGCAGCAAACGCGACTGGACGTCCTCGGCGGCCATCGGGAGTTTGTGGTGATGATGGTGGTGGTGTTGCCTCTCTGCGCGTTTCCTGCTCAACTGGGCCCTCAGATCTCCTGCAATAAATAATAGACCAAAAAGCAAACGTTAGAATGCTGAATTGATGTTTTCAATGAAAACGCGCTCACCGTCAGTTTTTTTAACATCATCATCGTCGTCGATAACGATGTGCGGCTGCTGCTGCTGCTCATCACGATCGTCGTCTTTCGTCTTCGTCGTCACAATGTTCTCAGACTCGACTGCCACTTTCCTTTTGGAATCGGAACGACTCTCGTACTTTGCTGGATTCCTGATCTTGATCTCGATCTTCTTGCTCTCGATCGGCGACGTCACGCGCATCTTCTTCTCCGTCTTGCTGCTGCCGCGCTCCTTGCCGCTCCTCGACTTCGAACGACGTCTCTCACCGCGACGACGTTCACGCCTCGTCGTTGTCGTCGGTTTGGACTTGGTCGTGGCCTCACGGTTCGGTCCGTTCACCAGCTGCGAGAACGGCAACAGCGAGACGTTGCGTCGCGACGTCGTCGCCGATTTAAATCTGCCCTCGTTGTCCTCATTCTCCGATTCATCGTCGGAGAAGATATCGTCCATCATATCGCCAGCGTCCAACTCCAGGAGATCGTCTGTCTCCGCATTTTCCTCTTCGGGTGGCGTCGGCACCTCCAACGCAACAGCTGCACAGTCATCCGCTTTCTGTTTCAATCTGATGATTCCCTCCTTGATTGGTTTCGTGTCTTGGAATTTCTTCTTTCTCGCCTCCAAAACGGGATCGTCGCTCTGAGATGCTGGTGGTTCAGGCGTTGGAGTGCGTTTCCTTTTAACGACGGGTGCTGCCGCCGGCGTCGCCTCCTCCTCCTTCCTCGTACCCAAACGATCGCGCACAGATAATTTGGGCGGAGATTTGCGCGATGCTTTCGGTGAAACCTTCCTCTCGGTAGAGTTTCTGCGTCGGGGAGAAGTCACTCTTCTCGGCGCTGCGCGTCTTACAGGCGATACTCTCTTTGGAGATGCTGATCGAGGATACCTCCTCGGCGATGGACTCCTCGATTTCCTGATAACGGGCCTCTGTGTCGGCGATGGAGAGCGCGAAAACGATCGTCTCGGCGACTTCTTCCGCCTCTCAATTATCTCCCTGTTCTGCATCACGAACGCCGCACTTCTCGGCGACAGCGGCGCCATAGTGATCGTACTTAAACCGGTGTTTATGTTGAGCGGAGATAAAGGCCTCTGCGGGAAATTTGGCGGCGGTATTAACGGATGAAACAACACAGGCACCGGATTATTAACGATCAGAGGTGGCTGCGTGTACGGCCTCACGTTCTTAACGTAATGCATTTTATTAGAATAAAAGTCCTTCCTCACCGGTTGCTCCTTAATCGGCGAAGTCTTTCTATTTGCGATGGGCGATTTTATTTCCTCATCTTTTTTCACTGGTGGTTCCTCCTTAACAATCACTTCCTCTTTAACAACAGTTTTCTCTTCAACTTTAACATCTTCGCTTTCAGAATTTTGCCTCTTGACCTTAACCTTTTTAGGCTTAGCTTTTGTGACTTTCGGGACTTTCTCCCCAGATATCTCATACTCAAGCTCCTGCATCAGAGCCTCCAAGCTGTTGGCCCTTTTCAATTTGCCAGGACTCGTGTCACCATCTGATTTTTCATTCTCCAACTGCTCATCCTCACTATCCGAGTCATTGTCAGACTTGTCGTATCGATTGAATTTGCTCTTCTCCTCTTTAGTCTCCCCCTTCACTGTGTTGTTATTGCAATACCTGTCTTGGGGCAACGTCAACTTGGGGATTTCCATGACTTTCTCCTGGGGCTGCTCCGGCGCCGTCTGTATCGCAATCAGGTTGGTGCTCCTAACTCTCCCATTGAATTGACCCTTTTTAAATGACAAATCAATATAATTTTTTAACACTGATGTAATGGTAACACTTACATTTCTGGCGCCCCGACCTGGTCCTGAATGATGGAAACCCCACATCCTCTTTGCATTGCCAAACTTGTTGTGGCTGTACGGCATCTGAAGCGCTGACTTACCACCTCTGCCATGGTGATGATTGTCAGCTTTCTCTGGTTTCTTGAGCGTTTGCAGAGCTGCCATTCTGAGCAGTTCCAGGTCATCCTCCTCTTCGGACATATGGCCTTTACCCTGTTGTGGTGATAACAGTTATTAGGGGATGAAACTCCAAAACTTATAAATTCAAATCAAACATCGATAATTTACCTGCATGGACATGTCCATGGCGCTGTTTGATTTCGGTGGCAACTGATTTCCTCCGTCTTAATCCGTAACTTCTGCACTCTCACAACAAACAAACAAAACTGATAGCCAAAATGGCGGAATGACTGCTGCTGCCGCTACAGAACCACGAATACCAACCCAACCAAACCTAAGAAATCTGCAGGCGTGCCAACTTGAATATTTGATTAGTTGATGGAAAGTTGAAAAAGTTTGAGAAAATAAAGAGTAGATAAAGCGGAAATGGTTTATTCGTCGCTAATTTTCATTCGACGCATCTCTCGAATCCGATCTTGGATTTGCTGGTTAATGACCAGTCGGTATTTATCTCCCTCCCCGAGAGCCTCCATCTCTTTGAGCCATTCCTCGCGCTCTTTTATCTCCTGCTTGATCTCATCGAATCTATTCATTTCCTTCGGCTCCTCTCGCTTCTGCTTTCTGGCCTCGACAATTGGCGGTTTTCCCTTCCTCCCGAAAGCCATCCTCTGCTGCAGCTCCTCCTTCGCTTTCTCTCTGTCCACCCGCGGAACTGTCGGCGTGAATTGCTCCCTGCTGTAAGCGCCGGACTTCAGAATCGAATCCAACGATCGACGTTTGCTGCTGCCAGGTCTAATGTACACTTTGGGTTCTCTGTTTCTGCTTCCGCCTTTCCTCTCTCCAACAGCAAGAGATGGCAGAGGTTCACCAGATCTTAAAGAGTAATTTATCCTGTTCCTTTGCATCGTCGTCATTTTACTTTCGTTGATCAGAGCTACACAAAAATCAATGCAATATATAAACAAATTTACAATAGATATTTTTATACTCACTTTGCAGGAATCGAGTCGTCTCCGGGCTGTAGTTGACCTTTGCGTGCTGAAAGACGCCGCCCTTGGCCACGTTCTTGCTGGGCCATTCCATTTGATTTGCTAAACTTTTACTAACAAAGTCTACAACTTCAATTTTCTTGCACAATTTCCACGCAACTTTTCACTTCCACGTCTAACCAAACAAAAAAAAAATAATCAGCTCGCTGTTTATTCATCAATAGTGATACCATGGAAACGCTTATTTATATATCTACAGGGTGTCTCTTTTTGATGTACATTCCATTCTCGATTCCTATATATGTACAAGTTAATTCAATTACGCGTCTGGTGCGATGAGATTCATAGCGGAAATTACGTGTGAGCGTGATTGAAGCAAATTGGGAATTGTCGAAAATTGGGGCGCATCCGCTTTAAAAAGGCAGCGCTCGAAATTGTGAGGATCAAGCGGGCGCCGCCGCTACTGTCAATTCGACGATGCTTCGAGCGCTTGTTTTTCTGATCCTCGTCACGGCTGGTCACGATTCCTGCGATTTCAGGTGAGAGAGAGAAAAAACCGTTTACATTTCGTTATTGTTATTGAGAGTATCCAGGCAACGAAGTAAACACGTGGCTGCGGTGGTTTTGGCACGCGGCGGCTCCAAGGGGATTCCCCTGAAGAACCTGGCGCCGGTCGGCGGACGTAGCCTGCTGCGAATCTCGCTGGAGGAGGCGCTCTCCGTCGGTTTCGATAGCGTCTGGGTGTCGACCGAACA